ATTAGTTGGTTTACGTTGGTTGGTACAAACCTGAAAAAGTAATCAAAAGAAACTTATGAGTAAATCTGAACGAAAACCAAAGCACAAATTATAATTATCTACAAATTGAGCAGATCCAATATAGATTTAAGCGACCTAAAAACAGTGTTGAAGAGCATTTAAGAAAGTAATACCAAGTGGTCGGTAAGACTTCCTGTCTACTTTATAAAAAGTATGAGCATTAAGAGATTTATTGTACCGCCTCAATGGCATCCTAATGGGTGTGACGGATAGAGATAAAGCAAAATAAATGTAATCAGAAAGAATATTTTAATTGAATAACCAGAGGATCAAATCACAAGTAAGGGAAACGGAATAACGGTGAATTTCCTTAAGTAAAGACAAGCTTATTCCATTTGAAGAATAGATAAATCTAATGGTGAATGATATGAAGCCAAAAAGCTAACTCACCTGTATAGCATCGGCCAAATCCCTTCTGACCTCATTAAGTAGATTTAGTCCAGTGTTAACCTCGCGCTCGAAACAACGATACAAGGGATCACGAATGTTTTCAAGCGTGCGTCGTAGCGGTTTCAATCCGACTGGTATTTGTGAAAGCCAAACCTCACAAGTTGTCTGAAGCTGGCGCATCCATATTGGACGAGCATCAAGGCCAGAACTGGCATCAACGGAAACAGACGGACGGGAGGATACCCCGATCTGTGCTGACATTGTTGTGGCCAGGCTTGCATCATCATCCTCTTGTGCAGCTTGCATCTTCAGCAAGTCGCTTATCACTTTCTGACCTAAAACAGAAGAAAATTCTTTTTTCTTGAGCAAGCCCTCAGTCAACATCTCTTAGATTAGGAATTATCATATTTAAACATAAATTAAGATTTGATGATGGAAATTGAATTCAAGAAGGAACTTTGAAATCTAAGCGTGTGTAACCTTGTAAAGAGGTTTTGACACAGAGTCCATGGTCAGACGATATAAATAACTGCTAGAATAGATTATTATAGCCAATGATATTCAATAAAGTCGCCCTGATAGCACGAATAAGTTGGGAAATCGAAGAGAGACTGCGAATAAAATATAGACTAGTTGGCCTTGGTCCTTACATCTTCATTTATCTTAACTAGTGGCTTTATCGACTTTGTAAGTGGATTAAATGAAAAATATTTAGTAAATAATGTCAAGCATCTATGCAATAATGATTGTCATAGTATGCCATTTGGTGGATGAAGCACTACTTTAAAGAAAATTTTGCACGAGCAGATGTCGTTCTCTCCTGAGAGCAAAAACAGTCACAGTAGAAAATATATTGCCTAGAAAGTGAAAAATAAGTAATTAAAATGATGGGTACTGTAGAACGCCTTAACGCTCAGACTTGGTCGAAAAAGTAAATAAGCAAGTCTAGCTGGCATGAATGGAACAGCATATTTATTCGTCTTTCGAGCAATGTGCGATTAACTTTTCAAATACCAGCTAAGAGGAGGAATGAAATAAAAATATGACAAAAGCGTACCCATATGATGAAGCAACACTTTCTCTGCATTATTAGGGAGGCCAAGCCAAGAAGGTGTCTGGGTGTCCGGAAGTGCATTGATCCACGAGAGGAGGTCCTCAATGGAACTGCCGTCAGGTACAACTATATTATGACCAGAAATTCCATCCACATTGGCGATGAGAGGAAAGTCATGCTGTGAAGGGTGTGGGAGGAGGTAAAATGTGTTGAAGACGGTAAAATAACGTAAATATATGGAAATAAAAAAACCATACACTAGGGTTGGCCTGTCAACTAAGGATAATGATGACGATCGCGTCTATAGAATGAAAGGTTCAATAGCTAATGCATTTTTAAAGATTAAAAGTCTGACTCACCTCAAAACTTGAATATGTAAACAGATGAGCCAAGAAAGTCTCGATAAGACGTTGATCAAATTGATTGTCTACTTTGCCACCGTAGATACATTGAGACAATAACGTTCGTAATGCTGCCCAAGGGACTCGCTCAGGAGGTAGATTAGCCCGACCCATTGCAACTGCATCAACCCAAACGTCAATTGTATCAAAAGCCACTTTGAGATCAGACTCATTGAATTCGTATCGTTTTGACCAACCAAGTGGAACATAACGAAGGCGCTCTTGTAAAACACCGTTGAACCAGGCGAGTAAGAAGTAAAGTCGAACGCGCTCTGTGGGAGCACGGCACATACGACTCGCTGGAACACTAGCAAATGTGCGAAGTAAACTGGCCTAGAAAACAAAAGTAAAGATGAAATGCATAAGCCCCCAAATAGTGTCAGTTTAGCTTATAATAATTAACAAAGATGAAATATCAATAAAAACTAAAGTTGGTAGATGGTTAGTCAAAAATAAAGAGTTTAAAAGAGATTTCATCTACGGTCCAATGTGTGCGGATAAGCAAAAATAAGAGTAAGCGGAGCTAAAATGTAATAAATTAGTATTTGTTGCAAGCATGCTATGTGCATAGCGTCCTCGGTTTGGGAAAAGTAGCCAAATGACTAATTGGATAGTGGACGAGAAATATAAATTTTAAAAATCAAGGACATTTTCCAATAACTTTTTAGTTTTTGATCAGCTTCATAAATTCTTGAGACAGAAACTTTAAGAAATATGGTTGACTAAGATTTTTCAAACTAAAAATCACAAAACCATTGATTAATCTTGGGTTCATTAAAGCCTGTGTACGCATATGAAACAGAGTTAAGGGTAGACTGGTGTTTATACATAACTAAAAAACCCAAAACGACATTTTATCGAAATACAGGATTAAAACTATGAAATAGGTGGGCGAATTTTCGAAAAAAATATCTAAAGGTTTATGCCATGCATCTTTCACTTTGCATGAGAATTTAGACGCAAGAGATTTGTAAGTAAGTACCCTTAGAAGTCTGTTAGAGCCCTGGAATTACGACTGCCAACTCCAATGACTCAGTCATAACAGTATCGTTCTAT